AGCCGTGTTCCCTCCATGCTCCGGCTGGAGAGGTCAAGGGCAGCTCTGCTGGTCAAGCCCCCAGGCTGGCTGCCGGCCCAGGCAAGCGGCTGTCCGTCCCAGCCCCAGTCCGGTCTTGGGGGCTCTGCCGGCCCCCCTTCCGCTGCCCAGATGGCAGCCGGTGTGCGCAGGGAGCCTGGCCTCCCCCTGCCTCCCCCAACATCTGCCGTCTGCCAGGCAGGAAGCCCACCCTGGGGAGGGCGCCCGGCGGGGGGCACCTCTGAAGTGCTCACCTCCCAGACACACAGCTGCTTCAGGGCCGCCTCCTGCTGCGCGCCTGGGCTCCCGCCCCGGGGAAGCGGGTGGGTGACCCGCCTGTTGACAGGCCAGAGGAAGGGGCTCGGCCGTGGGAACGCCCGCAAACTCACGCCCTCAGGCCTTCCTCCCCCTCCACCTAGGAGCCCCGCCCCTCTGTTCCATCACGCTCTGTGGACTGGGGTGGGGGCTGGCTCCGAGGGGCCCCAGGTCTGCTGGCCCAGGACACGGGCCTCTGTGTGGGGACCAGGACGCCGACAACCCTCAGCAGCAAGCATAGCCATCCGTGTATCCAGCCCCGTCCTGTCCCAGGCGCTGGGCTCAGCCCGTGCAACTCGTCTCGGCCCCGCCACCCGCCAGCCTTGGGGCCTGGGACGCGCCACCGAACATTCCCGGGGCCTCAGTTTTCCCTTCTGTAAAATGGGACAATGGCAGCGCCAGCCTTACGGGCCTGTGCTCTGGTCCAGGAGCCCACGCGTGGCAGGCACCTGGCAGATGATGGCATTCACTGGCCTCATTACGTGCCAGGCCATCTTTGAAGCATTTTTTCAGCTAACCCAGGTGAGCCTCCCAGATGCTCCGTGAGCTACACCCTTTAAAGGTCCCCATTTTTCAGACGAGGACACGGAGCCCAGAGAGGTTAAGTGACTTGCCCAAGGTTGCACAGCCCGTAGGCGGCAGAGCTCAGCTTCCCTGGTGTGAGCCCCAGTAGCCCCTGTAGGCCGGCTGTGTCCAGGCTGGGCCTGTGAGTGGCGCGGGCTGGTGTCCCCGCCCTGCGCTGAGGCCCTGTCCCTGTGCAGTCTTCGTCCAGGCCAACAAGCTGCAGCAGCACATCTTCGCGGTGCACGGGCAGGAGGACAAGATCTACGACTGCGCGCAGTGCCCCCAGAAGTTCTTCTTCCAGACCGAGCTGCAGGTCAGTGCCTGGGCCCACGCCCACACCCGGTGGGCAGGCGCTCTTCGGGGCCCCCGACTCGCACCGAGGGTCTCGGGGTGCAGCCGTGGTGGTGGGGTGTGGTACTCAGCACCCCCGACGGGAAGAGCTCCAGGCGGCCGGACGTGGCTGGTGGGCATGGAGCCGGCGGTGGCCTCCCTGGCGGGCCGGTGTGCGGGGCGGGCGCGGCCTCTGCTGGCCCCGCACGGTCAGGAGAGCCGGCACAAAGCCGCTGAGCCGGGGGCGGGAGTCACGTGGCCGTGCCCAGTTTCAAATGGGGAGGGAGGTCGTCCGCTCTGTGCCCAGAGGAGGGGAGTGCTGGCTTTCGTCCTCACCGCCCTGGCCTGCAGGGTATGTCTGCCCATAAGAAACCGCCCTCCCCCGCCTCGGACACCCCCCCACTCTGGCCCCGCGCTCAGCAGTCTGCCCACCTGGACGATGGCCCACGGCTGTGCCAGG